TTTGTGATGAATATTCATTTAAAATGGTTAGGGGTATCTCAGCATAGATTTCCCTAATAAACTTTTATCATTAGACCTCTGTTTATAATTAGTAGAGCGCCCTAGCTTGTAAGATACAAAACACTTACTTTATGCCCTCGCGTCCTTCCCCTTGCCTCCCCTGTCCCTCGCTCAGCCTCCTTCTTCTTCTACCGCCCCCAGCTATCTTCCCTGCTACCTTTCCTGAGCCTTCCACCCCCTCTCTCCCACAGCAAGCTATATTATGAAGTTTGCCTTAGACGGCACTGCACGCCTAACACGGTGCGCGCTCATGCGCAATATCTCCCGAGAAAAATCGTATTTTGTAAAAATTATGCATTTAAAATGAAGAGGAGTTATTATAGCATAGATTTACATGATATATAACATTCCAACAGTATACATTACTTAAAAAATAAGAGGACGACCTTGCATGTAAGGTCCCCGCTACGTATACCAAGCAGTACACAATCTGGCTATGTTAGTGTGTCAGCGCCTGCGCAATATCTCACCAGAGGAGTTCTATTTTGTGGTGAATATGCATTTAAAATAGTTAGGGGATATCTCAGCATAGATTTCCCTAATAAACTTTTATCAGTAGACCTCTGTTTATAATTAGTAGAGCGGCCTAGCTTGTAGGGTACAAAACACATACTTTATGACCTCGCGTCCTTCCCCTTGCCTCCCATGCCCCTCGCTCAGCCTCCTTCTTCTTCTACCGCTCCCAGCTATCTTCCCTGCCGCCTTTCCTCAGCCTTCCATCCCCTCTCTCCCACAGCAAGCTATATTATGAAGTTTGCCTCAGACGGTACTGCACGCCTAACAGGGTGCGCGCGCATGCGCAATATCTCCCGAGAAAAATCGTATTTAGTAAAGATTATGCATTTAAAATGAAGAGGAGTTATCCTAGCATAGATTTATATAATAACATTACATCAGTAGACATCATTTAAGAAATAGGAGGAAGACCCTGCATGTAAGGTGCGCGCTGCGTATACCAGCCAGTGCACAATCTGGCTATGTTAGTGTTTAGCGCATGCGCATTATCTCACCAGAGGAGTTATATTTTGTGATGAATATGCATTCAAAATGGTTAGAGGGTATCTCCGCATAGATTTCCCTAATAAACAATTATCAGTAGATCTGTGTTTATAATTTGGAGGGCGCCCTAGCATGTAGGGAACAAAACACCTACTCTATGCCCTCGCGTCTATCCCCTTGCCTCCCCTGTCCCTCGCC